TTACTGTGGGTTCCCTTACCCATACAACTGTACTATTTGGTATGCCAGAAACAGATTAAGTCATTAAGCAAAACCTACAAGTATGCCCTACTGCATATTGCAGTATGGAAGCCAGCATATGTATATGGCTATTCTGACCCACAATACTTTATCGAGCAAGAGGGCAAAGGTAAAGATGCAATGTTGTGATGAAGTAGTGCAGTGGTGCCCTCTGGATCTGATAGTGCAGCAACACAAATTGCATAATGCATAATACCAATTGAGATTTAATAAAAAATCTTACATTGAAATAAATAGTTAAGTTCTTTATAACTACGCATAAAGATACAAAAGAGAAACAAATTGGATAATTTAAAACAATAATAAACAAGCTATTGTCAGAGTCAGTTATAAAGAATATAAAAGGAGGGCTTACTATTTCCTGCAGTTGATACAATGAATGATATTTACCAATAAACAATGACAATATTACTCATGTCAGACAAAGATATGTTTGAAAATGACTTAAATATATATATATATATATATATTTATCGTAATTCAAATATGAACGTCAAAAGTCGGAATATGCCAATCTTTTTTTCTTATTATCTTATTTGCTAAACGTTCTTGTATAGTAATATGCATGTGTTGTATTATTCTACTACGTCTATTTATTAATGTTCAGCAATAACCACGTTTTCCCAGTACATCCATGGGACTGACGTTCTTGGGTGGGGTGATTCCGCTTTTGAACAGGAATTTTGTTAGCCAGTGTTCTTGTTTTCCATGTGCTCAATAAAGTTTCTTTAAAAAAAATTCTAAAGAATTCAACCAATCAGAAGTGGACCCACTTGTCTTTTCATCCAATCAGATTCCGCAGCAATTGCGCCGCGTAAGATAGTATAAATAGCCCCGCCTAGAAAAAATACACCTGTTACTTCTTACCCTGGACTCATACAGGCCCTGCTGTGAGAGATAACTTTGCCTTTTCCTCTTCTTTATCGAAACCCTCTGTCTTCACATCTTCAGAAAAATGGTGAGTACGATAGTACAGCTTTTCTCCACTTAGAGGATGTGTATTTAACCAAATGCAGCGCTCTGAACGTCTGTCATCATGCGAAAACGTAACCAGCTTAACGTTTTTTAACCGCTTACTCTTTAAAGAAGACGCATCATTTTTATAGTGAAACAAAAATGTTGCGGTGTAAGCTGGTAAATCAAGCTTCGTCATTAATAAGTCGTTTTAACTGTGGTGTTGGTAAATTAAGTGTAACTCGACGGCACAGTCAAGATGTTTAAGTGAAGCATTTACAATCGGCCTACTCAACTGGCTTTAGATAAGCCAGTCCTTTGTTAGTAAGTGCTTTGTTAGTAATGTTATTGCTCAAAGTGGAGTCGAAAGAGATGAGTTTTCAGTCTGCGCCGGAAGGTGTGTAAGCTTTCTGCTGTCCTGATGTCAATGGGGAGCTCATTCCACCATTTTGGAGCCATGATAGCAAACCGACGTGTTTTCTCTAATGTTTTCACATTAGAGAGATGAGAGACATGGTTCCAATTTTTTCTTTATTTAGGTCGAATTAGATGATTATTATGTGTGTTTACTTTCTGGCCTGCCACGCCACTAGTCTCCTAAAGGGGTGTGGCAGTGGCGCAATCCGTGTGAGACAGTTGCAGAAAATGTAAATGCGTAGTCTCCTCTCTTAACACTGGCCCACATTCACGTCCAATCGTGCCACCTGTCTGCCAACAACTGCGTCATTGTGCTTTCGGTATTTGAGTATAAACAGTATTTAGCCTCTTTTTGTTTTGAATTATAACTGTCTTTCTGTTCAGATGACAAATGTGTGCGTCAGGTGACTTAAATCATGATATGATGTTTGGTTCTTATTAAAATAGTAATAGAGCAGTCCTCCCACATGTGATGATATGCCACTAGAATGTATGTTACACACATGTTTTTGCACAAGAATCAGCCACTAGGCTTCCTTTTATGATAGTTTCTTAACAACCTTTTTTCCCTTTTACAGCGCGAGTGCCTCTCAATCCACGTTGGTCAGGCTGGTGTGCAGATTGGCAATGCCTGCTGGGAGCTTTACTGCCTGGAACATGGGATCCAGCCGGACGGCAGGAAGCCTGGTGACCAGAACATCTCAGGAGGAGTGGACGATTCCTACAACACCTTCTTCAGTGAGACTGGAGCTGGAAAGCACGTCCCCAGAGCAGTGTTTGTTGACCTGGAGCCCACTGTCATCGGTACATTCTCATTCATTATAAATGATAAAAGTATCATTAACCTTTTCCCCCCTCTGTCATTCAAAACCTTCAATAATCTAATGCTCATTACCCTTAGATGAGGTGCGCACGGGGACTTACCGCCAGCTGTTCCACCCTGAGCAGCTGATCACTGGCAAGGAGGATGCTGCCAACAACTACGCCCGAGGACACTACACCATCGGCAAGGAGGTCATCGACCTGGTGATGGACAGAATCCGAAAGCTGGTCAGTACATTTAGAACAGAAGTCAATTTTGCTGAAGAGTATTAAATGGAGATGAATCAGTTTATTGCTAAGTAGGTTTTCACATACAAGGAGTATGCAATCATATTGTGGTGAATGGCAAAAATAAGTATTGCAAAAGCCAAGTGTCATAACTAATAATAAATATGTGAAGTATATGTTTTAAAATGTAGAGCGGTACAGTGTTTTCGACAAACACAAGACATAACAATCTGGTATCACTCTTTCAAAGTGAGCATATTTCCCCGATTCTGGCCCACTTGCATCGGCTTCCTCCACCCTGCAGAATTCAGTTTAAGATCCTCCTGATCGCATTCAAAGCCCTCCATGGTATGGCACCCTCTTATCTCTGCTCTGTTTTCATTGAATCTATATGTTTACATGCTGTGCACTAATACACTTTTTTATCATTAGCTGTGAACCCTTGGCACTGCTGTCTTTGTATTATATAAATACATTTATTATTATTATTTCATGATTTTCTCTTTTTCTTTCAGTCCGACCAGTGCACCGGTCTTCAGGGTTTCCTGGTGTTCCACAGCTTCGGAGGGGGCACCGGCTCTGGTTTCACCTCCCTGCTGATGGAGCGTCTGTCCGTCGACTACGGCAAGAAGTCCAAACTGGAGTTCTCCGTCTACCCAGCTCCCCAGGTGTCCACCGCTGTGGTGGAGCCCTACAACGCCATCCTGACCACCCACACCACCCTGGAGCACTCTGACTGTGCCTTCATGGTTGATAATGAGGCTATTTATGATATCTGCCGTAGAAACCTTGATATCGAGCGTCCCTCTTACACAAACCTGAACAGGTTGATGAGTCAACTTGTGTCCTCCATCACTGCCTCCCTTCGTTTTGATGGTGCCCTCAATGTTGATCTGACAGAGTCCCTCTGGCCACCTATGCCCCTGTTATTTCTGCAGAGAAAGCTTACCATGAGCAGCTCTCGGTGGCAGAAATCACTAATTCCTGCTTCGAGCCAGCCAATCAGTTGGTGAAATGTGACCCACGCCACGGTAAATACATGGCCTGCTGCCTTTTGTATCGTGGTGATGTCGTTCCCAAAGACGTGAACGCTGCCATTGCCAACATCAAAACCAAGCGCTCCATCCAGTTTGTGGACTGGTGCCCCACTGGTTTCAAGGTGGGCATCAACTACCAGCCCCCCACTGTAGTTCCTGGTGGAGACCTGGCCAAGGTCCAGAGGGCTGTGTGCATGCTGAGCAACACCACTGCTATTGCAGAGGCCTGGGCTCGGCTGGACCACAAGTTTGATCTGATGTACGCTAAGCGTGCCTTTGTGCACTGGTATGTGGGTGAGGGTATGGAGGAGGGAGAGTTCTCTGAGGCCAGGGAGGACATGGCCGCTCTGGAGAAAGATTACGAGGAGGTTGGAGCTGATAGCCTGGGAGATGAGGATGAGGAAGGAGAGGAGTATTAGAAAGCTTTATTGATCTCTGATCCATGCTGTTTTATTAATGTCAAGAAAATAAAGTTGTTCATTGACTGAACCTGAACCTATGCTTTCCTCTCGTCAATGAATACACTGTTAAACATGACCTATCTGCCTAGATGGGTTGTATGTATTCACTTGCTCAGTTCAATCAAAAATGTTTTCACACAGATGCTATTGCTCAATTCAGTCACTTGGAGGCAGTGGTGTTTAACATGTATATATCTGTTCTCTGAACACACCAGGCATGGCAATCTAGTTAAATGCTAGATTAATCACTACATGATTTCTCAACATCAGATGATTCAAGAGTACCATTTGCATATCTTACATTGACTTATTTAAGATTGGATTTGTGCTTTACGTGAGAAGAACAGAGTCCTAACCCCGGCCTGATCTCAAATAGGGTGTGGTATTCACTCTGGCCCAAGGGAGGGATAGTAGTGAGGCGGGGGGTGGGGCTCTCATGCTGGCAGACAGGTGGTGTTTCAAAAGACTTAGTTCTGCTGTTCCCAGACTGGAAAATGAATGAAACTGAAAGCAACACATTAGGAACCATGTAAAGCCAACATTGAAAAGGGCTACATAGTGTTGTAAGGAGATGAGTGTTTTCACAGGTGTTGTAAACGTTTTTTTATTTTCAGTTCTGTAATCATTCACCATGTTCGGTTACAAATAAATGCTTTTTCTTGACATTAAGCAGATATTTAATGTCATTAAAACAGAAAAACAAAATGGATTCTACAATACAAAAACATACACAGCTCTCATTTAAAACCCAACAGGAACATACAGTACTGTGACTCTCATAAGCTTCCTATTGCCCCCTTTTCTACAGCTCCCAAACCAAAGCAGCAAATTGACAATAATGCATATAAATCCCAGTGAAAAGAGAAAGTTCCACAGTGTAGTACACCACAGTCTCAAATGTCAACATCTTTGAAAAAGAACATGTTACAGACTATGCTCATCTTTCCCTTGATTCTTTGTTCCAGATTGTCCCTGGAAAAGCAGTACATGATTCAAAGTGATAGCACGTGTTCACCAGCAGGGGGTGCACTTTGCCCAATATCAGAATATTCTATTGTCATCTTGAGAGTTTCCTCATGAACTGGGACAGGGTCCGCTTTACAGCTGCAGGTCATTCTTCAAAGCCATCTCCAGCTCATATTGAGTTATTCCAGTACAATGTATATGAATATGCTGACTGATCAATATGTATTCTATTGATCACCCTTCCACTACAGTCTCCCTGGCCTGGACAAACATGTTTGATCATGGACTAATGAATAGGGTCTTTGACCTCTTGAGAAATGTCAGCTGCAGTTTGACATTTCCGCACTCCTTCTTCCTCATCTCCTCCTCTGTGCCAAGTGGAAATGTATTGATGACCCCGTTGAATGGTTCTCTTTCTCCTTCATTTCTAAAACGTATGAACACAAAGAAATGCTTACATTCAGAAGGCCTTCACACATTTGTACTTCAATAATGTATTTCAATGTATTGTAAAACACAATTGATCCAACACAGGGTTTGATGTGTTTAGTAAGTCATTTCTTACGGGAAGGTCTTCTTCAATTCCTCCTCAATGCTGTCAGTCAAACATGAAGTTAGCTTCATGTTGATGTTTCTTCATTCCCCTTCTCTTGGTTTGTGGATGCCACCATTCTCAACTCCACACTTCAGTGACCTGTGAAGTGCACCACCTTTCTTTGTCTGAAACAACACAGAATGTTGGAAGAGACAGATCCATATTTTGTGCTAAATGAGTCGTTTTGATTTAATTCCAACTGAAATACTTACAGGATAAAGGACCGACTTTAAGACTTCTTCACATGAACTCTTTGATGTTTTAACCCCCCCACTGAGACATCTTTCAAAAGCCATAAGGGTCCATGGGTTCCCTGACTTGATCAAGTTCATGACTCAGCTTCTCTTCAAGTCCTATGGACACAGCCGTCTTTATGTCAGCCTGAAACCATACACAACACATTCATTAGTTAAAGCAATACAACCATCATTCAATATGGGGCTTTGTGTTTCAAGCAAAAAGTACAAAAGCTTTGAGTAAACTGTAGCAATGCATCCTCTCTGAAGCAACACACACTCAGCTCATCCAATACCTTGTTGGCTCCACGGGTAACATCACATGTGAACAGTCTTTCTTTGACTTTACCATTTGTACACAACATGTTAGTGTATGCAGCTTACTTCTTTTCTATGAATGTTATTATTTCTGTCAATATGAAAGACAGTGAAAGATGTTGTTACTTGATGTTCCTCTCTCTCTGCTGCTGGCTGCCTGAATCAGAGAGAGAACCCCCAGAGCTCCAGACACATAGTTCCATGTCTGCCAGTCGTTGAGATCTTGCAGGAATTCCTGTAAAAAATGTAACATACTTAATTACATTCTTGACTTTACATGTTATACTCAATTAGTATCTCTACATATTTATTAGAAGAGATCAAAGCATTTTCATTTTGTCATTCCTGGCTCACTGATGGAGAATTGAATCACATGTGTCATCTGGATCCAGACGTTTCTTTTTCATCAACTCTTTGGAGCTCACTGTGAAAACTTTGAAACATTCCTCACTGAATTGTTTCAACAAGAAAAGAGTTTCAATATCAAAGCAGGTTTGCAGTTTGGGACAATATTTGTGTTTTTGTATTCAATATAACTCACCTTAACGTCTTTTAGTTTGCTGAATTCTGCCTTCACGTCTATCTTGGCTTGCTCGTTTTGTTTTAGTATCAGAGCACGAACATCAGCTGCTGACCTATACGAAAAGATTTGTATTTGAAGAATGACATGAACTGCATATATATTCCAGGATATGATATCACTCTCCATCTTGCTTTCAATGACCAATGATCACATAGCTTCATCCAGCATCACTAAGTGTTTGTGAAGCAACAACATTAGGACAGAAATAAATGGCTGAGATGTTGAGGAATCAATGCAGGCATTTTAGAAACACGGATACTGTTATGATCATGGATACCCTGGTTGATCCTGTTTCAAGTGAACATTATATCCCTGAATACCATCCAAACCAGGATACTAATGTGCCTGTAAACGTAATCAATGTTTCCATGGTTTCTCCTCTTGGCCATCAGTGTCTAAATTGGATGGTACATTTAACTGTGTACTTTTGCATCTTAAACCACTTACTGATCATCTGAACCTCCAAGACTATCAGACTTGGTGCAGATCAAATGAATCTGCTGACACTCTCGACCATTTCCCATGAGGCTGCAGGATTCTTCCAGGATCTCCCAGGATTCTTTTTCAGAAGCTGCTCGATTGATCTCAGCCACAATCCACACAGTAGAACAACTTCCAACAACCTGGAGGGGAATACAGAAAATAATAACGGTTACGTTGTCAGTGTTCCACAATAATCAGCATTGCGTGTGGATAAATCACCTTTTTCCACATTGTGTCTCTGGTCTTGTTACGGTCCCGGTTTCCAGGAAGATCCACAAGTGTGACGTGCTGGAGAAGACCCTTCTTCGGCCCCCTGACAGTCACACACTTCACCAGTGGCCAATAGCACTTCTTCACATCTTTAGCATCTTCCTCTTTTGACTCACTTCCAGTGTATTTGACAAATTCTGCAGATAAGTCTTCAGCCTAAAATAAATAATAAAACAAGAGGCAATGCAAGGCCATTTCTTTTACCAACACACTCTCACTCCATAAACGTCCAGGAGCTACGCTTGGTCAGGGTCCCGAGGCGGCGTGCAGTTGGGACGCGCCGAGGCTCCTTCAGCTTCATAAAGGGACGCAAATAGCTTTCAACTGATTGCAATGTATTCCCATCTGCGGCGGGATTTGACGCTCATGGAAGCACGGCATTCGTTTGTGTCGGCGGCTGTTAAAGGCAATGTGAGCGTCCATTCCCATTGGATAACGGAGAAATGTACACCCGGAAGTAAGTATTCCCCTTCCTGTCGATTGATTTGACAGTGGCTGCGTTTCACTTCGGTTAAATGGATTCCTTGCGTCCCTCACTTGCGTCGTTTCCCTGCGACTAGTCCCTCCCACCAGGGAAGCATGGAGAGACGCAAGGAAACCACGAGAAGCAGGGAAATGAGTTTTAAGAGCAATGGGACGTCCTGTCCTCCGAAGCGACGTCCGTTTGTGATGACGCCGCACAGCTGATCGTCTGACAGCAGCCAGCTGTGTCCCCGTTATTTTCACAAACACCCCCGCCTCTGTTAGTACACATTTACTGACACAAACATTTGTATCATCTGTTGTAGACCCAAATAAATAAAATCAAATAAGAACTCATTCTCAAAAAAGATAAACGCCATTCTTAAAATGTATAAACGAATATTAGTTTGATTAATATTGATTAGAGTGCACAATATAAATAAAAGAATTGAGAGAAGAAAAAGAGATATGTTATCTATCAAAACCCAGTTAGATTAACATTCATTGGATTGCACACTTTGTCTGTTTGTGTGGATATGTAGCACATTAACATGTTAAATAGCACTTAATGACTGACTGAATGGAAATGACAATAAATGAAAATGTAAAACGAAAAAAGCGATCACGAAAATGTTTCCAATAAATGAATGAAATGATTTTTGTCCACTTTGTTGTTCAGATATATCACATATTTGTAACTGAATTATGCATTCATTGAAACAAAACACAGTATGAACTGAGGAGTGAGTCCCGTGAGTTTCATGTGTTTTCTTCACTCTGCTGGGAAACTCTGCTCTCATGTCAAGAAGCATCAGATCAGTGCATGCGCTGCATCGTCCAATCAGTGAGCGATACACAGTAAGGGGGCGGGGCGAGTATCTGAGGATTTCATCGAAGGATGGTCTGGTGGTTCCTCGATTATAGCTCCTCCATTATCGCTCCTCGCTCCTCGGTCCTCCGGCAAAAATAAGGCCATTGGGACGCTACTCAAGATGGCGCAGACAAATCAACTTCCGGTGAGACCGAGACCGAGGAGCGAGGAAATGAAAAATAAGAGAAGTGAAACGCAGCCTATATGCCAGGACAACACGGAGGAAAAGGCACAGACAAACTGCATGACATGCTATTCAATGTTTATTGAATTCCATGTATTTACAATGGATGTTCCTAAAACAACACTTTTAACGTCATAATCATGTTGCTGCTAGTCCTTTGATAGTCACCTGTTGGTCTCCTGTCCTTTCTGAAAGTCATAAAGAGTACATTAGTCATTTAGATTACTTATGTCCTCAAGTACCATGGGATTACTGAAATCACCATGAATTAAAAAAAATGGTAGAAATTAATCTAATCTAAATTTTGAAGCATTCCTTGCCATCCCCTCCCTCTAAATATATCAATAAACATTAGGAAGTGATGCACCTGACTACCATACCTGTTTAAGAAGATAATATTTGTTTTAAATAATTCAAAGCAATACACAACAGCAACAGGCTCTTTAACCAAGGCAACAGCCTAACATGTCTGCCACAAAAGCAGCGAAGAAGACTTGGTTACCATGGTTACCCTTCTGTTTATTCTCCGCTGTGGCTTTTTTTCTCCCTCCCCGAGGCAAGCGTTTGCTCCCGCTGCTTTAATTCAATGCAATCCCTCCCCGTCGAGGTAAGCACTGTAATTCTCTCCGGTTAGTCCACCAGCAGATGACAAACACCCACCTCTCCGCCTCTTCCAAGGAACGAGGGGACCGTGCGGCAGAGTTTCAGTTTCAGTTTGTTTCGCCGGTCAAGATGTCCGTTAAAGTTTAAATCTTCCAGACAAAATTAGAAAAGTGCCGGTCAAAGGACTTCTTTGTTATTTATTGAGCTTTAAAACAAATGAATAACGACTCTATATAATAAAACACGGAGGACGGAGATCTCTTTTTCTCCCCCTCTTCTGACAGCCCAGCAGCTGATCAGAGCACGTCTCCCCTCTCCTGCAGGGGGGCGTGGTCAGCAGAATCAGACCCGTAGACAGCAAACAGCACATAGAGCGAAATGAGGCATGGCTAAAATGCATGATCTGTTTGGTATTTTGAAAACAGAAACGTATAAATATACCTTATATAGGTATGGCCCTACAATATATCATTTAAATATAGCATGATAGGTACACTTTAAGTGAGACTCTTTTCTTTTCTGACTTTATGGGTATTTCACTTTATATTAAATACATAGCAATAAGAGTGCAGAACATCTAATACAGGGGTTCCCAACCTTTATTGTGCCAAGGACCGGTAGATACATTAAAAAAAAATCGCGGACCGGTTGTCAATTTTAACTGATTTTAATATTTACTCACCACCAGCAGGTAGCAACAGAGTCTAATTGTATGTAACAGCCTGAACAAATACTAGAACAATATGCATCCAAAACATATTAACAAAGTTTAAAAAAGAACCGGTGTTGTTTTTTGGTTTTTCGGAAAACCAAAAAACCGACGTTATTCAGTTTTTAAACCAAAACGGGAAAACAGATAAATCAACGTTGTGGTTTTGTTTGTATGATTTACGGATACTCCAGTGAATGCTGGGAAAACGAGGAGAAGGCGCATTATGAACGAGATGTCCGGTCGCCAGGGTGTGTGTGTGTGTGTGTGTGTGTGTGTGTGTGTGTGTGTGTGTGTGTGTGTGTGTGTGTGTGTGTGTGTGTGTGTGTGTGTGTGTGTGTGTGTGTGTGTGTGTGTGTGTGTGTGTGTGTGTGTGTGTGTGTGTGTGTGTGTGTTTGTGTGTGTGTGTGTGTCACTGGCATTTGTTTTCAGAAGATATTATGATAGTGTCGTTCGTTCCGGTGCACTCCCGACAGCATTTAGCACTACATCGAGATTAAGATTAAACTAATTTATTTTGGGAACAGCCGCATATATGCCGGTGTCGGACACAAACACACCGAACACACAGAGCTGAGCTGAGCAGAGCACATACACACACACACACATCATGCGCCTTGGTGACTGACTGGACATCTCCTTCATAAAACTAATAAAAGGGGGAGTAATCGGGCAGTTCGATGTGTGTAGAGATGTGTGTGTGGTAACACGTAGCAGCCTGCAGTCACTCTTAAACTGTTCTGATTAAGTTAAACACAGCGAAGGCGGTGCGTAAAAAGGCACAGCTCTTTAACGAGTATACGTCCCGCTGCCTCCTGATGCTTCAGCCATTTCATGAAGTGAAGGAGGGTTTCCTTCTATAAAACAGCTGCGGGCAGCAGATACCGTGAGAGTCCCGGACATTAATTCATAGATCAAGGCAGACTGGTTTACTCTCCTGTTTTGCCAATCCGGTGCTTAAACAAATAGCTCTACACCCCTGGCCGACATGTCCTTAAAATGAAGTCCGAGTTTGAAATATATCTCAAATAATGTATGCACCACCATTTCCCCACATAAACATAACAGTCTGCAATCAAACGGTTGTCTCCTGTGCGCTCCTCTTCCTACTTGGCGCACCGGTAACATTCTCGTGCGCACAAGAGCCGCCGAATCCCTCGGAACATCATAAAAGCCATTTTCAACGGTTTTCTGGTGAAAGATTAACTAGCTACTGGATGAAATAATATGACTGGTGGCATAGGTGCGAAAATTAAACACTTTTTGAAAAAAATATTATGATAAAATATTTTTATATATTTATAATTCTGCAAATATTACGATAAACTCACAGCTATTTCGCGGCCCGGCAGTAACACCTCCGCGGCCCGGTACCGGTCCGCGGACCGGGGGTTGGGAACCCCTGATCTAATACACTTCACTATGAATCCAGAACAATACAACTGCAGGAGTATGGATAAAGCCAGATGTTTGCATGCATTTTGAGCCGATTTGGGCAGAATCCAGCAGAGTGGATCGTGCTGTTCATCCTATGTCATCTATATGTATAGAAAAAAAGTCTAAATATTTAAGATAAAGCTGTGAAACAATCTCAATAATTGGCAGCAAAAATGTAAGGTTTTTTTAATGCATAAAAGGATACATGTTGAGATAGGAAGTTATAATATATTAAGAGAAGAGCTTGAATATTAAAAAATAAAGAATACAAACTCTTGTGGCTCCTTCCTGTCTTCCTACTGGGTCTTTCTTGGCTTTGTTCTGGCTATCTTCTAGCTCTGTTCAGGTTTTTGGAGTTTTTTTCTAGCTCTATCCCTGATCATTTTCAGAACCTGAAGGCTCTATACGGACTATCTTCTGGTTCTCCTCTGGATCCATCCACTATCTCTTGTCTCTGTCCAGTGAATTACACTTTTGTTACTGGAGCAGGTAAAGCATACAACAGATACTTTCAGCATTATCGGAGCACGAAGTGGACGCTTGGATGAAACACAGCGGACTTCTAAACAATGAACACCCGCAACTTGGAAGAAATAAAGTTGGGTTTTATGCGTTCTAATATTGCAATGCAAACCCATGATGTAATGACAGTAATTAAGAATAATTTAGTCATTGAATGCTCATTTCAGTAGATTTAATCAAACAAAACATAAACATATTGGACATGGCCTCAAGACTGTAACCTCTTCACATTCTGTTGAAATAGTC